GCACTGTGAGCATAATACTACCGGAGTAGACTGTCAGGCTTGTTTACCGTCTCGTAATGATTTACCATGGCAACCGGCTACGAATGAAAACACTGTAATTGAATGCAGGAGTAAGAATGCTAATGTTAGCTATTAAGTTTTAATGACTTTATTGTAGATTGCGACGGGCTCTGTGGCTGTCAAGAAGGCCTAGGTGGAGATGAATGCGACACCTGTTTAGCTGGTTACTATAACAACAGTGGGAGTTGTACACGTAAGCCGATTGGAAATTATGATGAAAATATTATTATTATTATTATTATTATTGTAAAATTTTTAGGTTGTACTTGTAATTCAAATGGATCGGATGGTTGTGATTCAGATACTGGAGAGTGTTATTGTTTTGATGGCTATTCTGGTATTGAGTGTGAGCTGTGTCCTGATGGAACTCATAAAATAAATGAAGGATGTACAGGTATAGATAAAAATTAATGGTCATAACTTGAAAAATTTAAGTTGGAATTAGCTCAAACTTTCTACACAGCATAAGGACATCAATATGTATCAGAAAATGTAATAAAAATTGGGGGTCATTTTTTAGCCATTTTTCGAAAAAAAAGCATGGGCTATAGCCTTGGGTATTTTTCAGATTTTGGCACATTTCTTAAAATGGCCGTAACTTGAAAAATTTATGTCGGAATCAGCTCAAACTTTCTACATAGCATAAGGACGTCAATATGTATCAGAAAATATAATAAAAATTGGGGGTCATTTTTTGGCCATTTTTTGGAAAAAAGCATGGGCTATAGCCTTGGGTATTTTTCAGATTTTGGCACATTTCTTAAAATGGCCGTAACTTGAAAAATTTATGTCGGAATCAGCTCAAACTTTCTACATAGCATAAGGACGTCAATATGTATCAGAAAATATAATAAAAATTGGGGGTCATTTTTTGGCCATTTTTTGGAAAAAAGCATGGGCTATAGCCTTGGGTATTTTTCAGATTTTGGCACATTTCTTAAAATGGCCGTAACTTGAAAAATTTATGCCGGAATCAGCTCAAACTTTCTACATAGCATAAGGACATCAATATGTATCAGAAAATATAATAAAAATTAGGGGTCATTTTTTGGCCATTTTTTGGAAAAAAGCATGGGCTATAGCCTTGGGTATTTTTCAGATTTTGGCCTATTTCTTAAAATGGCTGTAACTTGAAAAAATTAAGTCGGAATCAACTCAAACTTTCTACACAGCATAAGGACGTCAATATGTATCAGAAATGTAATAAAAATTGGGAATGATTTTTTGGCCATTTTTTGAAAAACCATGGGTTATAGCCTTGGGTATTTTTCAAATTTTGACAAGTTTCTTAAACTCAAAAAATGTATTGAATATTGCATAATAGGTTTTTTGTGATAATAACTCAGTAAACTAATGATATGCAACTTGCCGTTATAATAATATGATTATTCTTTTCTCTTTGTAGATTGTCCATCTTGTTATGACAATATTTCTGTTGCTTATAATACAACAGTCAGTTCACTTGAGTCACTAACAGAAGCAATTATCAACTCCTCCACATCAAAAGAAATCCACACATCACTCACAGATACTGTAATGAGCTTGCAATCCAACCTACTCAATCTTAAAGAAGTATTAATTCATTTAACATCTCGACAAATGCAGCTGTTTTCCAACCTTTCAAAAACAAACACTGAACTGGTAGAAACAGTGGAAGAGGTAGACATTTTTGCTAATTTTATAAAAGAGATAGAAATGTCAGCTAAACTATTAAGACAGAAAAGAGAGATGAATGATGAATTGATTAATAATATCACTGAACAACTGAGCCTCATTGAGACACTATTGAAAGTTAATGCTACTCAACACTTAAAAACATCACTAAATATAACAAAGAGAATCGACATTGTTATATCTCAGCTTGCTAACATATCAATGGAGGCCGAAGCTGCAGCTAATGAGCAGTCAGTAACAGTTAGAGAATTATTAAGAAATGGACTAGCTCTATCTGATAATACAACAGACCTACTGCAATCAATAAATGAGCTAGTGGACATTGAGAACAGCACCCTGGACCTGTTGAGGGGACTTAATGATTGCTCCACTAGCAACCTCTCCAGTCTTGTTGCTGAAGGAGAAATAAAACTGAATCAAGTTATTAATGACACTGTGGAAGTATTAGAAGCAGCAATGAGTGTGTATGATGATGTGGAGAACATAGAATTTATTGAAAGAGGAAGAGAGCTTTTGGCGCAGTCTTTGCAGCTGGTAATGATTGCTAGTAGAACATACAATGAGACTGTTAATGTGTCTATTGCTAGTAATGAAGTAAGAGAAGCTTTTAATGTCCTTTTCAATGATGGACAGGATCTTCTTTCTACTGCTTCATATCTTAACAACACTGCTCAAGAGATACTGGCTAGAGAAAAGGAAGCTCTTTCTTCTGCTAATGCATCACTGAGGGAAGGAGAAAGGATCATTAAAGAAGCTGAAGAGGTCTTGAAACGAGTCAAGGAAGAACTTGCAAGAGCTTTGTCTTATGTAGAGAGACTTCATAGATTAAGGCTACTTGTTGAGGAGGCAGAGGAAGACTCAAATATGACGCTATCCCTTGCAATAGAAAGAAGGAGTAGAGTTAATGAACTAAGTAATATTATTTTAGCAACAGAGAGCATATTACTAGGTACAATAGAGACTCTGGATATTATAAATGACGTAAGTATAAAATACTGTAATGTCTTGGTTTTATTTTCTGACATTTTAGGTGCTCAATTCAACTAATGCAACTGCTTTGATATCTCGTTCAGAAGCCACAAAACTTCAAGAAGACCTTAGAGATATTCAGTTGGAGGAGACAGAGAGGAAACTGAGAGAATTGGGAGAGAGAGGAGAGAAGGAGAGACAGTCACTGCTTAAAGCAAGCACTGGCTTGAATGCTGCAATTGCTAATGCTGCAAGGACTAATGATAGTATAGCAGCTCTTTCAGTTCAAGTTGAGCAAGTTGAAGAACGAATAAACTCAATATCTTTTGCTGATTCTGCAACATTGGATTCTCTAGATAGGGCGCTTAGTAATGCAGAAGCAGCTTGTAATGCAACAGGAATGGAATTAGAAGAATTGAAGTCTGAGATATCGGTACTGGAATCAATGTCTGAGAATCTGAAAGATAAGTATGTCAACTTGCAACTCCACCGTGACCTGCTCAAAGACATGAGGGATAATCTTGATACACTTGACTGTGAAAATGAGTTTCAATAGAGAGTTAATTAGATATAATTATTCATTAGTAGTGCCACCTTTTTAAATATTCATTGATTGATAATTTTCAACCAATCAAATCATTTTAGTCACGTGTCTTTTAGTGCAAGCAATTCACATCATGGGGAAACTTAAGAAACAAAAGGTACAAGAATTAGTCTTTTCTCCTCCTAATGCTTTATTCTTTGTCTGTAGAAGAGTTCATCCAAACGTAAGAAGTTCCAGAGAAGCAACGAAACACTGTCCAATACAACAGTGAACAAATTGAAACAAAACAGGTTGGAAAGAAATAAGAATGAATTAGTTGTAGCCAGAGTATAATGGGCGTAGCTTGAAGTAGGGGATAGAAGCTACAAAAACTGCTTGAAAATTTGAATTATCAGATAGTACAGACTAAAATTTCTTGCCGTTAACTAAGATGTTTCACTTTAAAAGGACTAACCCTCATGCTAACGTAAAGTTGTCTGGAAAGAAAAGAAAGAAGCTCATTAGGGATGCAAGGAGAAAGCAAACGGAGCAACAGAAACAGGAAGAAATGATGGAACTAGCAATGGCTGAAGTACAACAATAATAACAATAATATTAAATAGTTTTAAAAAAGAGAGAAAAAACTACTACATTTTGATAATATATCCACACAGCAAAACAAGAGTAAACGGTAATAATAATAATAATAATAGTAATAGCTATAGTTTCTAATTAAAGTGCAGCTGCTAATAATACCATTACTGAGGTCTCTGTGGGATTGATGGGCGGGGAGGGACCGGCCTTCCCCCACCACCTCCAGGTGGTCTCCTAATAATTAATTATAATAATTAAGAGCTCGTGAATAATTAATTAATTAATGAATATATAATGAGACTCACTGTGGTACATTAGGTCTTCCTGGAACATTTGGTCTCTCTGCAGACGGCCGACTACAAAAAATTAATAATTAAAAGTGGGCGGAGTTGTACTTACGTTGGTGCACGTGGTGACGTTTGTGTGTTGTTATTAGGGCGAGCTGGTGGGGGGCGGGGCATACTAGCAGTGCTGTGTGGGCGGGACGGCTTAGGGGGAGGGGGCAGGTCCTCGTCAATATTCACGGGAGGAGGAAGAGGAGTGTGAACTAAAAATAAAATAAAATAAAAAGTAAATAAATAAATAATTATTTTTATTGAACCTGTCTTGACGTTGATGTCTTGTACTAGACCCAGAGCGTCTTTGCATGCGTGATACATTTTAATCATCTCCTCTCTCCTAGTCGCTGCCTCTTTGCTCTCCTCCATTAGCGAGTTCTGGTCTCCAGCTGCATATATCATGGCTATTAGTTCCTTCTGAATGTAAAACTTCAACTGAGAGAGAGAGAGGGGGGGAGAAGATGGCAAGGAAAGAGGGTAGGGAGAGAGAGAGAGAGAAGAAAAAAGAAAGAGAGAAAAGAGAAAAGGATTTAGGAGAGAAAGGAAGGGATAGAAAGAGAGTAAGTAATAATATTTCTCTCTCCTCCATTATTCCTTACCTTGTTCACCATGGTGTGCATAATAGTCTTTGGTATTTGATCTTTGATGGTTTTAATAACAATATCAATATAGGACTCCACAAGGTTCTTAATCGTTTCGACCTGTCGCTCCAACTGTGGGTCTAAAGAAGCCATATCAGGATCCTAAAAGTAACAATAATAATACACTAAGTTTTTCATTTATTGACGTACAGGTGCTGAGCTTTTCTCTGCTTCTGGGTAAACTCCGGCCCTCAAGAAGGATGCCTTCCATGACTCCATTTCCTCCTCCGATTGAGCAACCAATTGCAACTGGTCCTGATCCTTGTAGACGTTCCTATAAACCACACCCAATGCCACGCCCACTCATTAATTAATACCATTACCTTCCGGTCGTGTAGTAAATGGCAAAGGCGTATTTCTTTCCGATGGAGAAGCGTCCGCTTTCAATGTCACGAACTTTCATGTCTTCAAGCCTTAAACTATACTTTTGCTCTTTCTCCTACAAGAACAATTAATTAAATAATTATTAATTAATTAATTAATTAATTGAGTAATTAACTATTAATTAATTGATCATCAATTAATTAATTGGTTAATCTGTTACCTCTGAGTCCCTGAAAAGTGTTAAACTCTCAGACGTCAACACGAACCAGTACTCCCTAGAGCTACCCTTTATGAATGAGACTACCATGCTGAGCCATCCTTTCCTGATCACCTGGTTACCCAACGTCTTAGCTTTCTTCTTACCACCACCTCCTTTAGCGGCACTGGAGGGAGAGAGGGAGAGAGAAAATTTATTTGATATTAATAATTTATTATAATATAATAATATACATGTATATGTAGTGCTGATATAATAATAATTGTGTGACAAATATTATAATTATAATAATATTTATCAGCACTTGAGAGAGAGAGGAGAGGAATGTTATTTATTGTTATTATTATTAATTTATTATTATTATTATTATTGTTATTTATTTTCTTACGCATCAAAGCCAACAAAGTCCTGATGGTTCGTGTTCATGTAGGATAACTCGATCTCTATCATCAGCGTAATCTAAACAACAAATAAATAAACAAACAAATAAATATATATATATTAATTAATGGTAATATTAATATTACGTGGTCCTTTGCTTTCTGTTCTTGCTCTCTTAAAAATGTTGACAGGATCCTTTCCGTCTCATCTCTTAGCAACGGATAACGATTCATCTAAACAATGAATGAAACAAGTCAGTTTAGAGCAACTTTAAACATTCGTAAAAAATCCAATTTTGATTGGAATCAGTTCAAACTTTCTACACAACATAAGTACATGTATATGTACCAGAAAATGTTATAAAAATGGAGAATTCTCACCTTTTCATTTTTGGCAAAATTTGGCTCGTGACCCTGTACTATAGTACAGGGACTTTTGTCTGATTTTGGAGCAACTTTAAAAATTCGTAAAAAATCTAATTTTAATCAGAATCAGCTCAAACTTTCTATGCAACATAAAAACATGTATATGTATCAGATAACATTATAAAAATAGAAAATTCTCATCTTTTCATTTTTGGAAAAATTTGGCCTGTGACCCTGTACTATAGTACAGGGACTTTGGCCCAATTTTTTAATAACTTAAAAGATTCGTGTAAAAATCCGAAATACATGTGTTTCTTATGCTCACTTACCCCATCGGCACAGTTCTTCACAGCCGTCATGAGTTCTGCTGACACCATGTCAACACATTTCAGTGCTGGAGACATAAGCTTCTCAATTTGGTTCTTCGTAATGGCTTCAAAGGCCATATCAGGAGTAAACAAACCAACCCTGACACCCTGTATGTTCTGGATGGTGAACGCTATCTCCTTTCTCATGGCCTTCTCATCTTTCTCAAACTAACAAAACAATAATAATAATGATAATAATAATAATAATAATAATAATAATAATAATAATAATAATAATAATGATGACAATAATGATATTTGTAGTAATTAAAGATTGTCAGAGACATTTTCTTAATTTAATAATGACGAAAAAATTCGTGTCACATTACCAACAATCAAAATATCATATGAACCATATCAAATTACATTTGCAAACAGCCACACTAAATATACTAAAATATACTAAAATATACTAGAGTATACTGAGATGTGCACCACACGTTACCTTGACTAGTTCAAAGGGGAATCTCTCGTGAAATATTTTATTAATTTTAGCTCCACACGTCAGCTCCGACATGACAACTTCAGCTCCTCCTCCTCCTTCGATTGTCCTCTCAAAATCGTCACCAAAATTTTGAATAAGACTAAAGAGAGAGAAAGAGAGAGAGAGAGAGAGAGGAAATTGAAAGAGATAAAGTTCCCTAGGCTTACGTAAGGAGAGCTTTTGTCTTAATGGTTGGATCGTTCGGATTGAATCTTTTATATTCCTCAACCTCCTTCTCCATGGCAAATACCTCACTTTGAAGCTTTGATCTCAAAGACGGAAGAGTATCACGAATATGATTAATCAGTGTCTTTAAAAATAATAATAATAATATTGTTATTTAAATTTTTATTACTTACCTGGTTCAATACTTTCTGCAGGTATGGAGTACCAAGCCTATCCGCCATATGCCTGTTTAAGAAACCAGTCAAACCGGTTTACAACCCCCTCCCTCGCCTCTTTACCTGTAAGCACTGTGAGACAGAAAGAACTTTCTCTCGCCAGCAAGAGCTGCTCGGATATCCTTACTACCATCGATATCCTTCTGACTACGATTCACAACACCGATATAACCACGTCTTAAAGAGAAGACCTTGTTCTCCAGAATGTCACGTGCGTCAGTACCTTCGTCCATCAGATCAAGTTTTGTCAGTACACCTATGGTTCTTATACCTTTTGGAGGAGAGAGAGGGAGAGAGAGAGAGAGAGAGAGAGGGAGGGAGAGAGAAAAAGAAACTTAAAAGGATGGAGACAATATCTAGTCTCCTACCTTGTGGGTCGCATTCCTTAGCCAGTTTGAGAGCGTCTGAGGTTGCAAGATCAGAATTAGCCGGAGTGACAGCCAGTATGAGTGTATTCTCTTTTGTAATGAACTGGAGCAACATGTCTCTTATCTGGAACTCAATATCTGGAGGCTGGTCTCCAACTGGGACCTTCGTCATACCAGGCAAGTCAACAAGGGTAAGATTAAGAACTGGGGAAGAGTTTTAAAAGTAACGAGAGAGAGAGAGAGGGAGAGAGAGAGGGGGGTAGTAAGTAAATATGTATCAGGTGATAGTCATGAGACATACCATGCGGTGAATAGACCCTCAGGTTGATTGGTACGGCTGATATTCCTTTCTTCTTTCCCGTTATCCTATCAGTCTCGGCCTCAATCTCTTTACGTACTTCGTTAAAATCCGTAAACTTCTTTCCCTTTTGATGTAAAAACTCGGCATATTCTAAGAGAAAAAGACAGATACGTAATGCATTCTTGTTTTTAAAAAAGGTTTTTACCAGCTTTAGCGTTTATTAATTGCAGGATTAGAGGACGCCTTGTGACGATTCCGGACCCACGTGGCAAGAAATCCCTAAACAAAAACAATTTTAACTAATAGAATTAACGAGAAAAATTTCAGTTTCAATAGCAACAGGTTAAAATGTAAACATTGATTTATTTGAAATATTTAAAAGAATCCTTAAATCCTTACAACTATATTAATTGTACATTAGTTATAAGTTCTCACTTTCCAACGCAGTTCTCCAGTACTGAGCTCTTCCCGGCAGACTGACCGCCAACGACTGCTATTTGAGGTAGATCGATGGGGCAGACCATCCCCAGGCTACTGAAGGCGTCCTGGAGGCTGTTGACGAGTGGGATAAGGTCCTGCATCTCTTGATTGTGAGACATTTTGAAAGAAAATGAGGGAAAGAGAGAGAAGGAGAAGGGCAGGAATTTGCGTCGGCTGCTACGCCCTTATGAGTGGGTGGGGATAATTAAATGGGTGTGGCTAACTTGCTCATTAATTATTCAAAATGGCGTCTAGTATGGAAGCTCAAAGAAAATCACTTCCCATATACTCCGCGCGAGATAGACTCATCAGAGAGATAAAAACCAACCCTTGCTGCATAGTAGTGGGGGAAACTGGGAGCGGGAAGACAACGCAGATACCACAGGTGAAATAAATCAGAAAATTAATAATTAAAAATTATAATTTTGCACTAATTTTATTAATAGTATTTGCATGAGACTGGGCTAAGCAAGAAAGGTCTGATAGGTATAACGCAGCCTCGACGAGTGGCCGCCATTAGCATAGCAACCCGTGTTGCTAAGGAGCAATCTGTATCTCTCGGAGCTGAGGTATTCCAATTAATGCACACCACCACATCACATGACTCTCACATGCCAGGTGGGGTATGCCGTAAGGTTTGAAGACTGCACTGGACCCAGTACCAAAATTAAATATCAAACAGACGGTCTGCTACTGAGAGAAGCCATTCAAGACCCTCTGCTATCAAGGTACATCATGATAATAATAATAATAATAATAATAATAATAATAATAATATTTATTAGATACTTGGTAGTGATACTAGATGAGGCTCACGAGAGAACCGTACACACTGACGTGTTGTTTGGAGTCATTAAAGGAGCTCAGAAGGAGAGAAGAGAGAGGCACATCAAACTATTACGTATTGTCATCATGTCCGCCACACTAGACACCAGCTCTTACTCTAACTACTTCAACAACGCCAAAGTACTCTACATTCAAGGACGACAGTATCACGTCAACGTCTATTACACCTTAAAACCACAATCCGACTATATTCATTCGGCCATTACAACAGTGCTCCAGCTGCATGGAGAAGAGGAGAGTGGTGAAAATGGAGACATACTGGTTTTCCTAACAGGTCAAGACGAGATTGAGTCGATGCTTCATACACTGATACAGTGTAAATCTTTATTTCCGTCTCATTGGAAAGATATGATGGTACTGCCACTCTTCTCTGCTCTACCTTCAGCTCAGCAGCAAAAAGTTTTTCAAAAACCGCCCCCAAACACTCGTAAAGTGATCCTTTCTACTAACATAGCGGAGACTTCTCTTACTCTCTCCGGGGTAAAGTATGTCATTGATACAGGAATGGTGAAAGGACGTGGGTACAACCCATTGATGGGTCTTGATCTTCTACTGGTACAGCCTATCTCAAAAGCACAGGCGAGACAGAGGCTGGGCAGAGCAGGGAGAGAGAGTGAGGGATACTGCTATCGATTGTACACAGAGGAATCCTTCCTACAGTTAGAAGAGAATACTGTCCCTGAGATACAGCGTTGCAATCTCTCCAGCGTACTACTCCAGCTGCTTGCAATGGGTATTAAAGACATACTCAGTTTTGAATTTATGGATCAACCTCCGGAAGAAAGTTTGATAGCTGCACTAGAAGAACTAGTGCTGCTGAAGGCTGTGAATAAAGAAGAAGAGACATTAGAACTTACTCCATTAGGAAAGAGAATGAGCTCCTTTCCTTTATCTCCATCTCTTAGTTCTTGTCTCTTAGCATCAGTGGATTATGATTGTGTGGTTGAGTTAGTGACACTAGTATCACTGTTATCAGTTGATACTGTGCTGTATACTCCGACTGATGGAAGAGAGAAAGCTGATCTGGCGAGGATGAAGTTCTTTTGTCCTGAAGGAGACCATTTGATGTTGATGAAGATACATAAAGCATATCAAACCTCTAATGAAAAGAAAGTAATAATAATAATACTACTAGTAATAGTTTTAGATGTACATGTACATTTATAGTAAACTTGATTAGATTTTGAATGATAGAGTACCTTTTAAATCGTCATCATTTTCCCTTCTTTCCTTTCTCTCTCTCTCTCCTCTCCAGTCTTGGTGTCATGATAATTACATTCATGCCAGGAACATGTCCACAGTCCAGGACATTAGGAAACAGCTCAAAGAGATTTGCAGACAAAACTCACTCCAACTAACATCAAACAATGATGGAGAGAGGCTGAGGAAGACCCTGCTTTGTGGCTTCTTTAGAAATGTGGCAGAACATGTCAGAGATGGGAAATATCTAACAGTAAGTTTGTTGTTTATTGTTGTTGTTGTTTATCATTTTTGTTGTTGTTTAGGTGTTGTCAAGACAAGAGGTGTTCATCCATCCCAGCTCTTGTTTGTTCTCAGTGACTCCTCCTCCTCCATTTGTGATGTACACTGAACTAGTTCACACCACCAAATGTTACATGAGGTTAGAACCATTCTCTATCAGACCAAAGTCCCTGTACTATAGTACAGGGCATGGGCCATTTTACTAAAATTTAAAAGTAGTGGATTCTCCATTTTTATAATGTTTCCTGGTGCATATACATGTACTTATGTTATGTAGAAAGTTTGAGCTGGTTCCGATCAAATTTGGATTTTTTATGAATTTTTAAAGTTACTCCAAAATCGGGCCAAAGTCCCTGTACTATTATAGTACAGGGTCACAGGCCAAATTTCGCCAAAAATGAAAAGTAGAGAATTCTGCATTTTTAATAATTTTTCCTGATGCATATACATGTACTTATGTTGCATAGGAAGTTTGAGCTGGTTCCGATCAAAATTGAATTTTTTTTACGAATTTTTAAAGTTACTCAAAATCAGATCTTCCTCTACCTAATCTTCCCTTTTGTTATGGTGTCTCATTTTAATTTCTCTTTCTCTCTCTCTCTCTCTCTCTCTCTCTCTCTCTCTCCAGGATGGTCTCTGTTATAGATCCAAAATGGCTATTTGAAATAGCTCCAAACTACTTTCATAAAACAATGACAACAAACATGATACAAGATTGAACTCACTCAGTCATTCACATTGTAATATTTTGTGATCTAATCAATTCTACTTTTTGTGGCAGCAATGCCACCATTTCTTTACACAATCCTAATTCCTCAGTAAATACTTCTTTGATCTCTTCAGTATGTGACTCACAATATTCAATTAACCATTTGTACGATTGAATTGAGGTCTCCAAATTCTTGATTTGTTCCCCGGGGTTTCCTGCTAAAAGTTTAGAATGCAAGCGAGCCACGTTGAGCTTTGACGTGAGGAAAGAGTGCAAGTACTCAGCTTCTGGTTGAGTCTCAAAACTTGAGAAAAACTCTCCGTAGTGCTTGATGGCGTCGTTCAGTAGTCTGTTTATTTTTTGGATTTGATGCTGTGAAGGAGAAGATCCTTCTTCACTGGCTAGTATTATCTTGTTGTTAGCCATGTCGTTTAGCGTGTCACCTAATTCAAACATCAGCTGGCGATTGAGTACTAGATAATACTGAGGGTTGAGACAGGAGAGGAGAGAAGAGAGGATGTCGACACGACGTTTGTGCATCCGACATTTTAAGGAAAGGTCAGACTCAAAGAAAGAAAGGACTTTATAAAGAGAAGAGTGATCTTGAGAGATAGAGACGAAATCGGTCGCGTGGTCTTCTAAATTATAAAATTTCTGAGCCGATTTAATCTGTGCCTCGGCAAATAAGAATACCTTAGATGCGTCTTGATAATTCTCAACTACATCACAAGAAACTTGTCCCTCAACATCAGCTAACTCTAACGGCTCAAACCTGTGTACTATAGCAACCTTTTCCCTCGTACCACCACCTCCTCCTCTTTCTCCTGATTCAGTACAAGAATGGGTCAATAAAGATATTGCATACTTAATCCAGCATCTGCTAACATCAGCCTCACTCTGCTCCAATTTCTCTTTCATTTCTTCTCCCTTTCCTCCTAACTCGTCGCTATAAGAACGAAGGACTACACTAGCAGCTGCCAGACAGTGCCTAGCCTGAGGGTAGTTAGCCACATTGATATAATACTGAGATATGGTCGCTGCATTAAGTGACCATTCAATGGGGTCGTAGCTCTTGGTCTCAAGTTGACGTGAGAGAGTATTCTGACAGTACTGAGCTGATAGTCCCGGCTGGTCTAAGTGAGTATAGACCTGAGCTAGGTAGAAGAGGGTGTGTGTGTGAAGATCTTCAAACGTTTTCTCTCTCTCTCCTTCGTCTCTGATGTCACCACTGAACAGATCTTCATCAGACAATGGTGGAGGATGGTGATACGACTTGTACAATGTCTCTCCTTGTTTTAAGAGCTCTAGTGACTTCTCATATTCCTCACTTCTATTTGACCACACTATTCCAAGACCGTTACAAGCTGTTACCATAGCAAAGGTGACACGCCCCTGAAATTCAAGAGATTTTGATAATTCTAAAATAGATTCATATTCTCTCTGTCCAGCACTAGTTTCATCAGTATTGATGTAATTAGCGGCTAAGAGAGAAGAGAGAGTGATTGAGAGTGGGTGGAGACTGTCATTAATTTCAGGCGGGGCCTGGCCTATCTTATCCTTAATTAGTAGGAGGGTCTTACGGGCGGAGTAAAGTGAACGATAGGGTTCCTCCTCAGGGTCTTTCCCACTCTCTTTGATGTACGAGAGGTACTCATCATAAAGTGGTTTAATTTCTTCCTTTATCCATTCAATAAGTGTTGGGGATAGACTTGTATAGTCTTCGGAATCAGCGGCCATTTTATTTTGAGTTTTGAGACCTGGAAGGAGGCGGAGTCAATTCACGTAATCTCTCACGCCAGACGCTCTCAACTTCACGTAGACACACCCCCTCCTCAAACGCCTCCTGTCCACCCACACCCTCTGGTAATGGAGCCTCTTGGGATGGGACCTATTAATTAAAAATTAATTAATTAATTAACATTCAGCATTAATTTATTATTATTATTATTGTTGTTGTTATACTTACTTCTATATCAAGTGTTGGTAGTTTACTGTTCCTCCAGTCCTTATCTATTAGTCTATAATCTAATAATTTATTATTTTTATGTCCTGCACTCAATTTACTGTCCTTGCTCATGCTATGGGCGTGGTAGCTAGGCTCATGTGATGGGCGTGGTCAAGTTGTGCAACAAGTGTTTGGGTGTGGCTCGTTTTCTGCAGCAAACTTTTTAGCTTCTCTGTTGTTTTTACTTTCTACTTCTTTGGCGTTTTCATCTTAATGGCCTCCATCAGAGCTACCACTATCCTTAGTTAGTCTTTTGCTGTTGAGTTTCATGATTATTTAAATCTTTCCTTTCAGATATCACACATCTTGATTTTGTCTTGTCAGAGTTGGAGCGCCTCGATTTTTCTGAGGCCAAATGGGAGAAATTTGGTCTTAAATGCGGCCTTTATAAAGGCAGATTGGAAACATTAGAGGCTGATTATCCCAAAGATGCCAGCAAATGTTTCAGAGAGTGCATTAGTCGCTGGCTGAGGAGAGAAGATGGTGTTGATGAAAAAGGAGAACCAACTTTAGAAAGACTAGCTGATATAGTGGAAGAGACTGGAGACAAATCTACAGCAGAGAAAATCAGGATCTGGAATGAAATTGTTACACCAGCAAAGGACCTGGAGTTTCACCAAGGTGAGTGAATTCAACAAAGGCTGCAAATTACTTATTTTTATTGCTACTGTAATGTATAGTTACACAGCCTACTGGTATGTCTACTACTCCTGCACAAAGTTCTACATCATTATGGTGGATCGTGTTACCGGTATCAATACTTGTAGTGTTAATTATAGTAGCAATGTACATTCCATACATGTACTATGCACCACCATGTAGCGTCTTGGATCCTACACCAATTGATGAATATGCATCAAAATTACGTGAAACATATGACAGAACTCTGACGAGGTATAAGGATCCAGATATTAATAAATATCCAGCTGCTGGTCCAACAGCTCCTGTTGATGATGTTCCTTTTATACCTTTAAAATTAATCAGATTAAAAAGCTACCAGAAGAAAGCAGATGCAGAATTTTTACATAGTGTTAATAAAGAAATCCTGAAGCATGATAATTTTGAAAAAATAGAAATTGACAGTCTTTTCAAACCACTACCAAATAAGCAATTACGATTTGTATTAATTACTGGAGAGCCTGGCATAGGAAAGAGCACATTAGCTAAAGAACTAACATTGCGATGGGTTAGACAAACTGATGAATTATTAAACAAAAATTATAAAATTGTTATTCTGATTCTATTACGCCTTAAAACTTATCAAAAAGCTGAAAATATTGAAGACCTTCTTATTAATGTTGAAGATACTAATATGACTGAAGTAATGTTATCAATCAGTAAAACAAGAGGAGCAGAAGTTCTTTGGATATTAGATGGTTTTGATGAGCTTCCACATCAACCGAGAACCAATTCAGTCTCAATATTCTTGCAACTTATAAAAGGAGACATTCTTCCCAAGTCAACAGTGATAGTTACAAGCAGACATGCTGCTACTGAGCCTTTGCTAATCTTTTTAGAAAATGATTCAAAACATTTTGCTCTTAGAGGCTTTAGTCCAAATGAAATCTTAAAATATGCTTCTACATATTTTAAAAATGGTACAATAGTTTCTGAGTTTCATTCTTATTACAGTGGTAATACTGTGATTGAGAATATGCTGTACAATCCAATGAACTGCTACATAATGTGTAAAGTATTCACTGACTTTATACATACTAAGAATAATAAGTATCCAATAACAATGACAGGGATTTATAATCAGTATGTACGTGCATTACTCAAGCGGCACCTCATTGATGCTAAAGTAATTGATATAAACTATGAAATGCCTCCATATTTAGTACAAATTAATAACTTTAATACTTCAGTATTAAGTGACATTTGGAAACATTTCCGTTATCTTTCTAAAGTAGCTTTTAATGGTGTAACAAAACCAAAATATATCTTTGGAAAGGAACTTCATGACATCCCAAAATTGAGTATGATGGACACTGTCACTAGCTTCACTGGGTTTGATAAAGATGAGTCTAGCAGTTTCATACACACTACACTACAAGATTATTTTGCAGCAATTTATCTTGTAAACAATCCACACTTAATGTTTAATGAAACTGACATGAAACAAAACTCAAATCTTGAGAATGTTCTTATTTTTTATGTTGGATTATCAAAGCTTATTGACAAAGAAATAGGTGCACTGGATATGTTAAGAACCAATTTTTTTGGTGAGTATGTGGAGGATACCATTTATATAGAAATAAATAGTTTAATGCTCAGATGTCTATATGAAAATAATCTAATTCGGCACAATCAAAACTATAATTTAGACTCAGGTTATCCATGGGTTATTGGAAATGTACCTTTGAATAATTTTGATTACTTTATTGCTGGGTATATTGTTGCCGCTCACAATATTACACTCAGAATTAAAATATCACATTTAACTGAATCAGCAGCATTCAAAAAAGGACTTCAATTCCAGAAAACTTCTGTCAATGGAAAAATTAATATTTGGTTGCACAAAGATGCTATGGCTGAAGTAGATCTACCAAGTGATGCAGTAATAGCATTAAGTTTAATGCTTGAACTAGATGCATCTTTAAGTTGTGAAATCATTTCAAAGTTTCCACTGTTGCAAGAGCTTTATATTATTATTTTTTATAAATTTGACTGTAATTCAACAATACTAGAGCATCCTTTGATGAAACTCAATGAATTGAAATTTCTGTTTGTATCAATCATGACTTATAACTATAACAGCATTTTAAAATTACTCAAACAACTTGTTGTTCCTGGACGACCTCTTAAAGACTTAATTGTATTGGTACCAATGAAAATAATTAATGCATACAAATATACAGAGATTTTAGATTTAACAGTACAAAGCTCTTTGGATAAATTAAGAATTTATATACTCCAAGCAAAAGGTTTAGAAATTACTTTTAATAAAAAAAGTAACAGTTTATTAGTTAAATATTTTCAATTATTTGTTCATCACCTGGATTTAGGAGCCACCCACAATATACAGTTGAACTCATTTACCTCATTTGTATACTACAAGGTGAAAGATGAAATGATTTATCGTCTTGAAATTACAATATACTCAGAACCAGTTACATCTTCATTAAATGATCTTATTAGTGCTTTCATGAACTATACATCAAAAATGAATACAAATACAAATCTAAATGCAGCTGATTACATCAATTATGTTAAAAAATTAAATGGTCCCATGTATGTTATAGTTTCACCAGCAGATCCAGTTTCATATGAAGCTGGAACAACTACCACAAAGTATGAACTATACAGGAATCTTAATGATTTTTTAAGTTATCTCATTATTGATACTTTGCTGGATAACATTCCATTACCAATATCAGTAGAAGTACATATGCGTCTATATCATATAGTATTATTTACAATAATAATGGCTTTTATTTTGCTATTATTCTGTAGTTGCTACTCCTTGTGTTTTATAAGTAGTCCCTGTCAATTATTAATATTATCATTATTTTCATCATTGTTATCATTATTATTATTATCATCATTTATTATTATTATTATTACTATCATAATTTGAAGTAGTGGGAACCTCAAACTGAACCAGAATGATCTGGTAAAGAAGTTGGAAAGTTGTCTAACAGACTATTATATAGTAGCTAGGGGCAGGGTTGAGCAGGGTGAGGGACTAGCAGATAACATTATTTTTGTTATTATGTACATGTACTATAATTACTATTAATCATTATTATTATTACTATTTTGATCATCAATATTGTTTATGTGTATAACATTTGATTTCAAGGAGATTTCATTATTTGAACCGGCAATGTTGTACTCAGTGTTGTGGGTGGGCATTCATTGAAATGATTGGATCATTTTGGATGCTGACATAACATAGTCTTGCTAGCCAGACCATTCCCAGCCTACAGTCATTGGGGTGGACCACCCCCAAAGACTTCATTTTTATGTCCTGCACTGTGTATTTACCAGAGCTACTTATAGACCTCTTCAGGTGAGATTGACGGTGGCCTATGAATATCATTACTGTTCATTACGGTATCCACCTACGGTGATAATTGGCCGCCATTTTGGACGGCAAGATTCAATGGAGGATGAATGAAGAAAAGGCAAAACTGATTCTTTTCGTTGGCATGGAGCTTTTTCAAGCTACAAAAGCTGGTTGGAGGAAAGAATGGTCACTGCTAAGCATCTCCTAAAAGAGATTTGGTGCAATATGAAGTATATTCTTTAATAGAGCTTGCTTTCTGCATTAGCCCATTCATACTCCATAGAAAGTTGCCGTCCACGAAAATTATTTCAGAGTCAGCCAGGCTCAGTCACGCCCCTTGCCGTATATCATTCTTTGACGTAATTCATTCTCACCCAAAGAGGTCTATTTACTGTCCTTCTGGGATTGGGTGTGGTCAATGAATATTAATAATAGGGCGTGGCTCGTTTTTTGCATCAACAGAACAGTGACAGCAAGCAGCCTTCTTTCATCGTAATGGCCTACTAGTCTAATGGCCTACCCTGTACCACTTAGTTAGTAATATTTCTGTCTACCAAATTTGACTGTTAATCTATTTTCAGGTATTGAGCACCTTGATAGGGTCTTGTCAGAATTGCAACATTTTGCTGATGCTGAATGGAAAAGTTTTGGGCTCAAGTGTGGCCTGCATTACAACACATTGAAAGCAATAGAAAGAGATGCTAGGTCTACTAAGGAATGCTTTACAGAGTGTGTGGCTTGCTGGCTGATGATGAAGGATAATGTTGATAAAAAAGGAAAACCAACTTTACAAAGGTTGGCTGATATAGTGGAAGAGACTGGAGACAAAGCAACAGCAGAAGAAATCAGGATCCAGAATGGAATTATTACACCAGCAAAGAACCTGGAGTTTCACCCTCAAGGTGAGTGAATTTAATAAAGGCTGTAGGTTATTTATTTTTATTGCTACTGTAATGTAGTTACACAGCCTACTGGTATGCCTACTACTCCTGCACAGAGTTCTACATCATTATGGTGGATCG